TTCCCTAGCTCCTTCCCCTCCTTTCTGTAAAAAATTGCAATGAATGAATGGTGGATGGTCATATGATTCTATTGCCATGGAGACAAATGGCAGCTGCAAGATTCAAGAACCAGGATGACAAAGAGGGCGGCCACATATCCTACAAATTATTTATAAGCTGCTATTTGTAAATTTATGAACCTGCATCTCAGTGCTCTGTTTAATTGTCACCTTGTCTTAGGTGGATCAAGGCATAGGCTTATTTTTACAAATGTACAAATCCTCGAAGTTATGCAGTAACACAGTGGCAGGAAGGTGATTATAATATATGCCTAGGTCAGGCAGTGTTGTGATTCACAGCAATGTCCTTCCTCTTCAGCCCAACTTCTTAGAATCCTGCAGACATGCCTTTTAGGCTCAAACTAGTAGCAGAAGATTGTTTGAAGATATTTTGCTATTTTTAATAGAACTGCACCCTTCCATTTGAATTTCCATCAAGTGTATTCAAGGCTGCCTGCAAACAACTATCATGCATTACATGATACACTGAATAGTGGGAAATTCCACTTCAGCAGGTTCAAATGCAAAAGGGCTAAAGCAAAATTATATTATCTGTCCATCAGGTAACAGGTAGAAACAGCTGAGACCTAGGAAAACTAAATGTCAGAGACCAAATCTGAAGGATGGGATTTCTCCCTCAGGCAGGCTTTTCAAAAGAAACAATAGCATCTTTCTTTTTTTCTTTAGGGAATTGTGTTGTGCCTCAGAGGCTGCCTAAAAATCTCATCAGAAGAAAGTCCCCAGCCAGCCACAATTAGGTCTGGACTAAGGGGATTGCACAGCAATTAGGCTCAGCTCTGGTATAGTTGATAAGGTATAGCGTCCATTTATTCATGAATTGATAGCTGGGCACATGTTCTGGTGTGTGCAGGCTTGATGGACACTAGAAGGGCATTGATCTTGGGTCGATATGGACTGAATCAACCTGATTACGAAGTATTTGTTCTTTTTTTTTTTCCTTTTCAGCTTTCTTCTTGGTCTATGAAGTTGCTAATTTAGCACATGCTCCTCCATTCTAAAAGAAAGGGGTTGCAATTTACTTCCTTCCTGGTAAATCCGTGGCAAAAGAGATGTTCTCTGGAACAGAGTGGATGGTGGCAACATACTTGACTGCCTCTCCCCAGAACTGCAGGAGAGCTGTTGGAAGAAACTTTGGAGACCTGACATGGGAATCAGTGGGGTCCAAGCTCCCGTATCCCATGCAAATGCATATATTACAGTTGACCAGCATTTATTGTTCTTCAAATCAGATGGCCCAAAGCATCATTTGCAAAGGTGTGGACTATTAATAGAAGGAAGGAGAAGCTACATGACAATCTATTTTCTTCTTCTTCAGCTGTAGTCTTTAGAAATGGGGAGGCATGTAAACCGAATAACTGAAAGAAGAAAGGCTGGAAAGCCTAAAATTTGGCAGCAGATGTGTGTGGGAGAACATACATACTTGAGTGCGTAGTTGAAAATCTCAGGGATATATAGCACCTGTAGGCCACATTGACTGATGGCACCACTTCCACCTAATAAAATCATCTGAATTTTTAGAATGATTTGGAAGGAGGGGTGGCACTGGTGCACCCTCAGCTTTGGCACTCTAGGACAATTAGCCTAATCCTGTCCCAGAACTGTCAAATCTTTTTAAGATTTTGTCTTCTCACTTGAAATCTTGGTATCTAGGCTTGATCCATCAGAGTTATTATCATATTTTCATGTGATCAGTGAAAAAGGATAGTATATTTTACACACAGAAAGACACATTTTGAAAATGTGGCAGTCTTTAACACGGCTCCTCCCTATTCCGAGTGAGACTGCTTTTGGTTACGTCATGGGGAAAATGTAGTTCCCATGCGTACTAAAAATATGTTTAATTTATTTTTGTATATTGCATTTGCCAAATTCATGCAAATATGATAGGGAAATAAAATTAGCATTGTGTGCAATAAGGACAATGTCAACTCATAAAGCATTCCTGGTCTGCTCTCTTTCTGGCTAGGCAGATAGTTTCATCTTATCCCATCTCCACTCTTTTGGTTAAAAAAAAAAAAGCTCACAATTTGGCAAATAGTTAAATGAACGCATGCATATTGTAGTACATATTGCCAAGTAAATAATCTTCTATACATTCTCTCCTTGGATGGTCTTCATTTTTGGTGTTAACACTTCTGCATGTTATTAATGTTGAAACTAATATTTAGTTTTTAAAGCAGAATCAAGAAATTGTCTGGTGATGCTATTATAGTAAGAGATTATGACTAGATACCCACAAGATACCAGGCTATTCAGATATTTTACGACTTACAACCGTTCATTTAACAACCTTTCAAAGCTACAATGGCACTGAAAAAACTGACTAACAACTAGTCCTTGTGTTTATGTCCATTGCACCATCACTACGGTCATGTGATTAAAATTCTGGCACTTGGCAACCAGCATGTATTTACAAAAGTTGCAGTGTCCCAGAGTTACGTGATCACCATGTGTGATCTTCCTATCTGGCTCCTGACAAGCAACTGCAGTGGCATGGCAAAAAGGACATAAAATTGGGCACCACTCACTTAATAACCAACTTGCTTAGCAATGGAAATTCTGATTCCCGTAGTGGTAGTAAGTGGAAGACTACAGGTGGTCCTTGATTTATGATCACAATACAGCCCAAAATTTCTGTTGCTAAATTGAGACATTTGTTAAGTGAATTTTGCCCTATTTTATGATCTTTCTTGCTTCAGTTGTTAAGCGAGTCACTGCAGTTGTTAAGTTAGTCACCCGGTTGTCAAGTGAATCTGGCTTCCCCATTGACTTTGCTTGTCAGAAGGTCACAAAAGGTGATGATCACATGACCTTTGGACACATCAACCATCATAAATACAAACCAGTTGCCAAGCGGCTGAATTTTGGTCACATGACCATGGGGAAGCGGGGATACTGGAAAGGGCGTAACTGTGAAAAATGGTCATAAGTCACTTTTATCAGTGCCATTGTAACTTTGAATGGTCACTAAACGAACTGTTGTAAGTCGAGGATCTGTTTATTTGATTTTAGCTTATTGATTTATGCAATGAGTCAGTAATTTGTGCATTTTCTTGGCATTTCCTCTTTGCAGTATAAGTCAATATGCCACTTTTATCTCTAATAAAGTATTTTGTGTCCCAAAACTTTTTTAACACAGAGCTTTTAAAACTGCCTTTTCTCTTGTAAAGAAATGAGATTGACAGTTCAGCTTTAGCCTGAAATGTGACACCTATTTACAAGAGGCAAAGAGAGGGGGATATGTTTCTAAAGTGACAAGTCTAGTCAATGTTAAGTTTTAAATTTGCAGTATAAATCACAGAATGCAATTTTTTTTCCATTTAAGCACCATCCATTTATGAACATAACTATCTTCTTGAACTGACATGCTACTACCAGCATATTTGCCCTTTAACCCCAGCCCTTCCTTCACTCTCTCTTGAAGAATTCAGAGCCATTCACTTTTGATTCCAAAAGTTTAATCTTGGATTGCAAAGGCAGAACCTGAAAATCCAGCTAGGAACGGAGAAGCAGCCTAGGGATGAAGCCAAACAGGTCAATTTACGGCAGACTCTGGCCTATCATAGATAAGGGATATCAGAATGAATTGATTACATCGGTACTGTTCCTTCTCCTTTGGGTGGTCTTCCCTCAGATCGTTTGCTTGCTTGACCAAAGTAGAGATGTAGACGGTGCCCAACTGGCAAGGAAGGGGCTTCATGCCAGCCTTCCCAATGGCTTCAGTTACAACTCCCATCAACCCCAATCAGCAAAGTCTTGATGGGATGTGGTTCTTGGATTGAGGATCACCTTGGGTTCAAATTCCTCCTATCCACCTTGCCAGGTTGGATTGGCTTGAAAGAGGGGTCAAAGAGGCCATCTATGTCAAAATTGAACAGCCCTCTCAACAAAGGGGGAGGGATATGACATCATCTATCTCCAGGGTCCAACACTGTTCTATCAACAGTTCCAAGCATGCTCCACACCCATTTGCACTACTCAGGTGAGCCTGATGTCACAGATAAAACTCTCAGGTGGCCTCAGTGAGTCTCTAAAAAGAATGCAAATGACCAGCTGTCTGCAAGCAGTATAAATCTTTCCATTCCCCACCATCCAGTCAGAGCTGAAGAAGCTTCTTGGATGAGAAGCGAAAGGTCTTCAAAGAAAAACCAGAAAGTTCAGTTGCCTCCTGAAAAAAGCACCTTTGGGACAACTGTGACCTGGATGACTGAGAATCCCCATAGACATTTAGCTATTTAGACTTTGGGATGAACACCTTCAAATGTTGCAGGAGTATACACAGTTTTCCAGAAAAATTACAGACTACCAGAACACTTCCAGCAGTTCTAATAATGTTCTATACCCATTTGCATTATTCAGGTGACCCCAAGGACACAACAAACCTCCAATGGCCTCAATGAGTCTCTAAAAAAAATGCAAATGACCAGCTGTCTGCAAGCAGTATAAATCTTTCCATTCCCCACCATCCAGTCAGAGCTGAAGAAGCTTCTTGGATGAGAAGCGAAGGATCTTCAAAGAAAAACCAGAAGGTTCAGTTGCCTCTTGAAAAAGCACCTTCGGGACAACCATGACCTGGATGACACAGAAAATCCCTACAGACGTTTGCCAAAAAGCTCCTCCTTATTCGCAGGAACGATTAAGTAAAAGTCCGATTTGAACGGCCATCACAATTCCCGCACTCGCTTGAGGAGGCAACGTTAGCTCTCGGGCTAATTGCTATCGGGGACCCTTTCCCGCAGTGTGCCAAAGAGTCCCAAGGCATTCTGGGAAAATCCCGCCTTTTTCCCCCCCCCTCGAAGCATCAGGTGTGGGGACGCCGACGGTCTCGTTAGTGCGAGCGGCCACCTGCTCAGCCAGCTGATTTGGGTTTTGGGGAATAGCGCCTCAGCGCTCCCGCCCCCCCCTTTCTTTCTTCCTTTTTTTCTTTTTTTGGCGCTCCGTCCCATAGGGGCGCCTGGCTGATGTTGCCAAGAAAAGCCCCGCGCTGTGCCCACTGACGCGCATCGCTAAGTGACTCAAACCTACGTCACCCCCGCCCAGGCAAAAGACGTTGCGCCCCTCCCCGCGTGAAGAAAGCCTCTCCGAAGCGCTTTCTCCTCACGACCCAGGCGCTCCAGGCTAGCCAGCCACCGAGCCAACCGGAGAGGCGGAACCGGGCCGGCTGCTCCCGCCGCCCACCGCTACCAGAAAGGGCTTGGCTGGACCTGCGAGAACCGCACAAGCGGGCCAGAAGGACGCGAGCGGGGAGCCGCCAGAGGAGAAAGAGAAGGGGGGGGTCGGGCAAACGCGGCGCGGCGCGGTGCGCAGACCTGAGCAGCTGATGCGCGCGTCAGAACCCCCGGAGCCTTGACGCCGCTCGCTTTCGAAGCCCCAACTCCGCTCCGTCCCTGGGCCAGTCGCTAAGCAGGTGCTCGGCGGAGCCCCTCAGCTCCTTCCCTCCCTCGCTCCGGGCGTTTGTGTGTTTGTTTGTTTATTTATTTTCCCCTCGTCGCGGAGAAGTTGGTTGTGGCATAGGGGGCGACGGACGGATCTGCGGACGAGCAGCTGGCTGTCCGCCACCGAGAGAAACGGGGCGTCTGGTGCCTTCGCCTTTCCTCAGGTAGGTAGGGGCAGATTTCTGCTCCGCGATCCCTCGCTTCTTTCCTCTTTCGCCTTCCACAGATGATTCTCTTCCCCAGCACAGGCAGGCAGGCAGGCAGGCTCCTCCGGCATATTCCACGCATGCTTCTCCCGGGAGATAGACGACGGAACTCTTCTTAGTTGCTAGGCGAGAGCGCAAAAGAAGATCTTGTGGGGAGAACCGACGGGTTGACGGTGGAAAATGGCACAAGTCCCTCGGGGAGTGGAGGGAGGGAGGGAAGGAAGGGGGGAGGTGCGCATCACCTGAAGCCTAAAAATAACAAGCGATGCGGAACCGAAGGACCCGGGCCTTGGCGCGCATCCTTACGCCGCGGGAGTAAAGCAGGAGGGAGGTATCGGAGAGCAAACGGCCCTTCCTTGAAGCCTGAGGAAAGGTCTCCGGTTTCCTCGGAAGCGCTCCGTCCCTGTGATGAAAACCCAGATTTGAAAAACGGAGGAAGGAAAGAGTGCAAAGATCATCTCTGCTGTCAGAGGTGTATTTGACCTTGATCTTAACATTGAGAAGGGAAGGAGAAACCGGTCCACCCTCTTGAATTAAAACTGATGGAGCTCAAACCCTGTGCCTCAAGTTCTGCCTTCCTCCCTATTGGTGATTCATAGCAGAAGTCCAATCAATTCAAGTGCAATCAATTGAGGAGCTTAAATAGGGACTGGAAAGGGGGAGGGGGGAGTATTAACATATTTGGTTTACTCTTTTTTTTAAAAAAAATGTGCATTTGTAAAATGATTTGTTGATCCAGTAAAATGATTTGATCCAGTTCTGAAGCCATCGAAGGAAAAGAGACCTGCAGGTATTTTACATTTAATCTGATGCAGAACAATTTAAGAGGCTGAAAGTTAAAACGTTGTGAATTCTAATAAAATATACTGCAGCCTTAGGAATTACAGGCCTTAATGTCTTTTCTTTTTAGAAACAGAGTTAAAAAAATAGTAATTTTCTAAAATATAGGTCACTGCTTTTACTTCTACTATAGGCTAATAATGTCATACAACACCACAGATTTAACTGTCTAGCCAATTATATATATATGGTAACTAATATGTGGAAATGTTACTTGTGTGGTTAGTTTATGGTTCTGTTTGTCTTCTGAATCATGTGAACACAACCATTCCAACGGAATGGTATGTATGAAGTCCTATCACATGTTTGTCTGAAATTAATATGGAAAGCCTCTGTACTTCCTTGCTATTCCCTATGCAAGATGGGCAACTAAATACGGCTTCAGTATTGATGACAAGATAGCACTTTCACCTGCATTTCAAAATATCAAGCTAGGTTGGGGAAAATGTAGTAGGCCATGTAGTATCTATACTTCCGTCCTCCATTTATTGTTGCATGCCATACTCCAGTATATACTGTCTAGGGTGATTGTTTCATTGTGTCTAAACAGAATTGGCTCTGAGCCAGAATCAAATGTTGTGGACTTGTTCTTGTGTACTTTTGTGACCTGGATGACTTATTTAAATGGTATCTTCTGAAACCCAGGTGTCCTTAGGCTACCAATGTTCCTTACATATCCCTCCTCTTCCAATGATATATGGACATTTTCCATTCTCTCCATATATGGACACTTCCATTCTCCCCTGAATGTGTGTCAGATTCTGGTGTCCTTGTGGCTACTCAATTATATATCCTTCACACCAACATTTCCCATTTCTCACTCCATAACATTAAAAATTATATATTATTCATGCCTTGATTTGCCTGGACAGTGAAAACTTATGTATCAGGAATACAAAATGCCTCTTTCTCATTCAGAAAACAGCCTTTCCTAACCTAGGCAGAGGGTACTGAGTTTGGAAAGGCTATTTTAAAAAAGTTCATCATTAAGGCATCCAGGTAATACAGCCCTCTGAACAAATGAATTTCAGGGCAACATATTACTATGAATTAACAACACTTTGTATCCTGATGATTTACATACTTAAATTGCAGATTGTAAAGGTAGATAAACCTCCCTATAATTATTCAGTTAGATCTGTTTTGCTGCATAGTCCAAATATCTTATTAGCCTGAAATCTATTTTAGCTGTTGATAAATACTCTTTTAAAAAGATTTCTCTGTCCAGTTCAATGCCCTCAAGGAAATAATAGAGCTTTCATGTGACTGGGTCAGCATATCTTTCAAAGAGCCCATTCTTTAATGTGAGAGTCAATATTTACAGGGTCTATGAATTCTGGGATTGGTTCAGCAATTCACTCAGTGTGCTTGAACTGATCCTGTTTTGATCCAATTTCTAAAATGATCCACAATGATGGATCACACAAGGAAGGTTCTTTGCTGGCAAGAGTGGGATGAGGGTGAGCTAAAAACGGCACAGCATTTTGCTTAGTTAAAAGTGCCCAATACATTATTAAACATACAGAAGCATTGCTGGGGGCCTGTGGGAATCATCACGTAATTCAGCAGAACCATCTCCATCTGCCTGTCTTATCTTGTCCTGCCACACAAGTGTCCTTTTTTCTTTTGGTGACTGCATGTCTTGTATTTGCAGCAGAACATTTTGGCCTTCAGGAATTCTATCTCAGGATAGTGCTAATTATGGAATATGAGCTGGGGCATGTAGAAAAAAAAATACTAATCCTGGGAATATTAATACATACACAATCTTTCTTTTATATAACATAGTTTCCAAAGTCTGCAGTGGAATTTCAGGATCAGCTAAAATGTCACTACAGACAAATTTATGAATTCTCTACAGCTTTTCATGGGGTAGAGATGGGGGTAAAGGGGAAGGTGTCTTTGTGATAAAGATACAAAATCAGTGATGGTATAAGGTTTAGGATGAACTTGGGGAAAAGAAGGATGTAGACTTAGCTGGAGTATACCTTCCCAGGTACTATGAAGGCTATACCTCTAGGGAAAATAGTACACATCAAATAAGCTAATTGCTTCTGTCTGAAAGTATATAATTACAGTATCCAATCCTGTTTTCAGCCTTAAATAAAATTCATAAGTTACATATAATAGAAGGACAATAAAATACAATGCTAGTTTTTATATCACAAAGATGGTACTTAATTTTAAATATGAAACAATGTTAGCACAGTTGGGAAGTAATAGCTAATAGATCTAAAGCACTGGAATTTTAAAATTTACTATAATTAATAATGATGATGCTATTTTCCTGTTAAATGTCCTGATTTTAACACTTAATCCCTGTGACAGTTTTCCATAGAAAGAGCCATATGGTCTTATACATCAGAATGCCAATTTGTTCTTTGGCTTCAAGTCAAAAGTATCATTTTATAAATATAATCATAGCATTTAGTAAGTTATATGATGAGTGGCTTTCACTGCCTTCAAATAACAGGCTCATATTGTTGGAGCTCATGAATGCTCTCTATAATACCCCTAAGAAATAAATATAGATTGTGTTAGATGAATTGTCTCACTTATTCTTTTTTAGACCATTGATGTTCCTGTGGAATTTTCTCCCTTCTCCTTTTAAATGAGAGAGGAAGGAAATACTTTTATAAAAGCTTCTGAGTGGGGATTGAAAGCATTCAAATATATTTTTCCAATTCAATTAACTCATTGTTTCCCAGCTGAACATATTTTACATTATTAATTAGGCATTGGCTGTAATCAATAAAATAGAGTAGCAGTGGAGTTGTGTAAACTGTGATACTTTCTATTTTTAGTAGTACAATGATTAATAAAAAATGTGCATTTAGCATGTAAATGAGTACTTTATAAAAAGTGTGTTTATACTTACAACAAACTTGCGGGATAGGTAATTACTATTAATGTTTTACATAGAGAAGTAGGGTTGGGAAATTATGTTCTCATGATTACTTGAATTAATGACTAAGGAAGGACTTTCCCTCTGATCTTCAAGGTTCTAGGTTCTCAACAATTTCCCCAAACTGGTGCCCATCAGATATGCTAAGAATACATCCCTCTAGTTCCAGATCAACATAATTGTGAACCATACTAGCTGGGAATTCTGAAGGTGATATTTCCATCATCAGCGAGTGGAAGAATATTATTGTTCCTTCTTTGAAAGATATTCTGTGAAACTGATAGTGAGATCAAGGAACTGTGTAGACACTATGCTTTTAAAAATTGCATCAATTAAATACATTATGAGAAAGACTTGGATATCACAATCCATTTAAGTTTGCAAAGCAGACAGATTTAATATATATGGATAATAAAAGCGAGACCCATATGTCAATCACAATACATTTTATTAATATTTTTAGAGAAAATATTACAGCACTTAGGAATATTCCAAGGTCATGTGTTGAACAAGTAAGGAAGTGTTTAGAAGAAAATGCAACCAATTTGTATATTTAATGTAATTTATATAATAAATTGTGTATAGGGCTTGACTTTCGATACACCCTGTATTTTCATAACTGCATAATTTATTCTAATCTAATGATGCTGAAGAGGCAAAAACAAACCATATAATTGAAAAACCATCACTCACTGCTGTGAAACGTGCTCCTGGATATTTGATCAAGGATTGTTTTTAAAGTTATCTTTTTAATCTTAAAAGGCTAGCAAAACCTTTCCTCCACTGACAGCTGAGATGTATTACTATGGCAAATTCCATGCCAATTCCTACTCATGCATTTAAGAACTGCAGGTACAACATTCATTCAATAAATAGCCTTTTGTGTACATTTGCTGTAAAGCAGACATTTCACAGGCAATACATCCTAAAACATGAACTTGTGAGTACATCTTAACATGCAAAATGTAGCTATAATGGTAGGTTTATGATAATCTCCATCTATAAAAGGACTTTATGGCAGTTCTATATGGGGTGTTTTCTTGAACAGCTCTCACTTATCTAAATCTGATTGTGGATCTCCAACTGGATTGTTGCTGAAATAAATAAATTGGAAAGCAGCCTAATTTTCTTTCACTGTTCAGCTTCATTTGTTATGTCAATACTTTTGTTTTTTTGTTCCATTCCTGGCGGATATATTAATATTACTGTGGCT